GTAGCCAGCACATGCCGTGTTCGCCCAATGCCTTGAACATCTCAGGGGGGATTTCATCAATTCCAGGAGCTTTTTCATTTTTCAAACTTTTCACAGCTTGTGCAATTTCACCTACAGAGATAGTAATATCCGTACCCTTCTGCTCTACAGGCGAGTCTTCCTGCGTTTGCACGGGGTTAAGGACTTCCTCATGGTGCTCATTCCATCGCCGAAGAATGTCATCGTACTTGATAAGAGGGTTTCCAGACCTTTCTTTCAAGAGTTTGAGACTGTCTTTTACACCTCAGTAGCTGCGGATGGTCTTCCAGAATTCTTTGTTTGCTGTGTGGAAATTAAACTCCATCACCTCACCGATCTAAACCCAGGAATCAACTTTGGCTTTCTACTGCTTTCGCTGCCACCTTAGATGCCTCCAGATATCGCTCGCTAGTAGCAGGTTGTTTGTTTGACGCCATTTCTAGAATGCTGCTTGCTTCTCTTTAACTGTCAGTTGTACCTCTCATGTCCACCAGGAAGATCTTTGGTGACCTCCATTCGGCAGGCCAACCAGTTTAAGTTCTCAGCATTCGGCGGCAGCATGGAGTATGCCTCCTAAATAGGTGCCACTTGGTTTCCACATCAGTAGTCATCTGTGGGATTTGTTCAAACTGTCGTGAGATGTTGTTGCAGATTTCTCTCTCGTGTTCGTCGAAGATGATGTTTCCCATTTGATTCTCCGGTTGCTTCTACGTCCAGATCTTCGTATGATATTTCATTTCTTACAGCGTAGCGTGCTAACAACGTTTATGATCGGTTGATAGCTTTGCGTCTCTCTTAAGACGAACATCCGTTACCGAGCGTCTAGGGTGGGACAATACGATTATCAAGTTGATCATCGACTTCTGTGCACAAGCTTCCCGGTACCAGGTATTCTGATGCAGTCTTCGATGCTCGAAAATGTGTTCATAATGCACGAAACCGCAACAAATTCATGCCATTATTGTTGAGGTCGCTCAGGCCGTTTTTTCCACTCATGCCGTTCCATTTTTCAGCGTCTACTCCGACATGCGCGTGGAATTCGTACATCACTATGAGGGACTCTGTATTCGGCGCTTCAGGGAGAGCACATTGCGCTTCCTCAAGGAAGGTATCGTCTTCCAAATTGGTCGCAAAGACCTGTTCCAGGTTCAGCGCTTTGGCATGTTGTATCTTCAGTGGGAGGATTACCACCCTTCCGCTGACAGGCTTCCACTCAGTGATTGTATCTGCTCTTTTGGGTTCTACCAGAACCCCAACACCGACTCGTGATGTCCACGCGTGAGTGGAATGGCTTCCATGTACTGAGGTTCTGGTGTCCAAGGGCTTGTTGGTTCGTTGACGAGAGTTCAGAAATTTTGAGTTGGTGCTTTACGGCCTCATGAACTTACTCTTGTTCTTATTTTCTGAATGAGGATATATTCTTATTTCCAACTTTAAGCTCCCACTGGTGGTGTCGTTCTCGTGGGCCCTTTTCTGACGTGCTATAATGCCATCGCGCTGTGTGGCTCCTCCGTTCAGAATGGGTACCGATTCCGTTGCTGACTAGTCTTTTCGTCGTGGTTTCATTGATCTTCGTCAGCCGTTGTTGTGCTGCTGCGCCCCCGGCTTGCAGAAGGCGATGAGCAGGTTGTGATCGCCATCTGCCTCGATTCCCCAGCAGCCTGCGTGGCCGTTGGTAAATTGGGCTACGACCGAGCCGGTATAATTTTCGATGGCGTCAATACCATGAGTGGTAGGTGGCTAAATTTTATGGAGATTGCCATGGTCTCTAACCCTCCTTCTTTCAGAATCGGGCTTTGGAGCGGCAACGGCGGAGCTCGGAGTGACGTACAACTTCTAAATTCAGTGATTTTTGTAAGTTGATACCCAATGCACTGTTTTTTACAACGAAGCATTAGCTAGACGGCTGAATTGGCGGTATAAAAGCGCTGTTTTTACTACTAATGTGTCACATTGTTTCTTGTGGTGATATCTTGATGTCGTTTTCGTGAGTCATAATATTCACGTGATATAGTACCTTATTCGGTTGGTAGTTCTGGCACATTTTGAAAGTGCGGTCGTTTTCTTCTGTTTTATTTATTTTTGTTGCTCTTAACTTTCGGATATATGGAGTCCCTATGTACCATTACGTTATGGTATCAAGAGATCAGTTGTGTTTTAGCGATACCGTTGGTTCTGTGTCGAATTGCATGATTGAGATATAAACAAAAGATTTGATTCGTCAATGATGCGTTTTGGTTTTTTCTACTGGCAATCTTGTTTGGGCCCATCTTTGCCGAAGTTGTAGTTGACAGAGCAGGGTGCTCAGAATCGAGAAGTCTCCTGCTCGAAACTCTGTTTGGCCACCCACCTTCGTTCTCAAATTGATAAATGAGTACGAGAATGTATGAGAAAGACACTGGTGACCGCACATTGTATTTGCCTCATGGCTGTGGTTAACTCTTCCTTTGGATAATGCCACAGACTCGAATATTAATGCCCCACGTTTCATTTCTTGAAAACAACTGCGGTGGAATAGGTCCCATCATGAAAGTTTAAGGAGGACCGACAGTCCAATGGTTACAAACTTTTTTTAATATAAAGTTATAGAAAGATGAAAGAATCTCTTCTAATGCTTGATTTTCAGCTCATATTCAGATTAATATTTTATGACATAATGAAAATCCTACATGTTTGTTTTCATTGCCATAAACAGAGGAATGCATTAGATACATCACTTGATTCCACCGAGCTAGACAATAATATTTGTACTACGTAACGCAGTTAAGGTGCGATAGTAAACAGTGTAGTGCAAATATCACCACTGTCGTAGCCACAGCGCATACTATGAAATTTAATGGAAAGCTCGGATCACCACCCCTTATGACAAAGCATTTTTTCAGGAGCGCCGTTATGACGTAAAACAAAAACTGGCATATTCTCCAGAAACCGAAGCTGCGTGTTTTTCCATCTACCTGGAATTGGGGTGTTTCTCATTTCAAAGACTTTATCAGATGAAACTCTCAGATTCCATCTACTAACTACGCTGCGATGCTAATTGTCATTGAAGTTCGTTATCTTTGATTTTCATGGCGCCAGCACACTTTCCCCAAATGAGGTAAACATGCTGACACACTGGCTCGCATCGGTATTCAAAGTTCGTTGTTGTTTGTTTTGAAACTGTGATATTGCACACTGTAAAATCGTGATCATGCATGTTAGTACGCCTGGGTAGGTGAAATAATGCATAACTCTTCTAGGATCAAATTTGCGGGATATTCCGCCGCCACCTTCCTCCGATTCACTTAAGCGGTTATCATTTGAGCACGCCGACAATATTTTCGTGATTGAT